AAAAAAAAAGCTTTCTAAAATAATTTAATTCATTTCTGAATAAGTACTGTAAGTTTAATTAAAATCCGAGAATTATTTGATTTTTGCAAGAATTACCAAATCAATGTGTTTTTCACCGGAAAAAGACACCAAATTTCCTATACTTAAGTTTGGTCTCTCCGCTAACGAAAAAAAAAAAGATTTTTAATCAAAATTTCGAGTGTTTTAAAAGAATTAAAAGTATAATTTAATAATCAAAAAATCGTTTGGGCTTTCCTCTTCTTATTAATAACGAAAAGATTTTGACAATCCATCCGTACTTAATAAAACAAAGTTTTTGTTTTTATTAAGTTGGGGGCATTTTTTCATCATGGCATGCTAATATTTTTAAAGAATTTGTGGTGGTCCCTATTTAATTTAATAGGCATTTTTTATTATTATTTTACTTTTTTAAGAATCTTAAAACTACTTTTATTTTGACAAATAATATAACTATTTTTATATGTATATTGATCAGCAACAAAAATAAATGATTTATGTATTTATTTCTATGTTTTATTTCATATTTAATACCTGGGGTCGCGATAATAAAAAAATGGGGTCATGAATGAAAAAGTTTAAGAAGCGTTACTCTAGAATATTCTATAGAAAATAGGAATACTCAAGAAAATTCTAGAATTCTATATTTTTAGTTTAATTTACTATTATAAAAATGGGCTAAAATGGCATAAATAAAATATTTTCGGGTGTTACATACAAAAGTGTACGTAATACAACAATATTATAACAATATGTACAAATGATTTCCAAGTAGGCATCTACGCAGACGACACTACAATTTACTCCTGCCTCAAAAACAAATCTAGTGTCGCCGACAAAACTAACCTGGCCGTTCGTCTCGAAAAGGACCTCCAATCGGTTGTGAACTGGGGCAGGAATTGGCTGGTTAACTTTAACGCCTCAAAAACAAAACTGCTCTCTATTAATCACCACAGGGAACCATCCCTGCCCTCCATTAGAATGTCTGACGCTCAACTTCCCGAGAGCATCTCTCTGCGTCTGGTCGGTCTCACCTTGTCTACTGAACTGAGATGGAACAAATACATTGAGTCAATTGCTTCGTCCACCGCGAGGAAAGTTGTCTCTCTGGGCCGCGCCAGGAAATTTTTCTCCCCGGAATCGACCCTTCAAATCTACAAATCAACAATTCGCCCTTGCATGAAGTATTGCTGTCATATATGGTCTGGAGCCCCCTCTGTTTGCCTCGGGGTTCTTGATAGGCTCCAGAGGCGGATATGCAATATAATTGACCCTGATCTGGCATCTCGTCTACAGTCGCTCTCTCACAGACGTGTCGTCGCCTCTCTCTGTCTTTTTTTACAAATACTTTCATGGTAATTGCTCCGAGGAGCTGCATTCGCTGGTTCCCAGACTTCGCGAATTCAAGCGTCCTACGAGGCTGGCATCCCGCTCTCACCCCTTCGCTGTCGAAACTCCTAAATGTAGCCGCCTCTTCTACAATAGCTTCATATCTCGCACCTCTAGCCTGTGGAAATCCCTTCCCTATTGCTGTTTCCCTGAGAGCTATAATCTCCAACTATTCAAATGTAATGTCACTTGACATATCCAGTTACCTTGATCTATCTACTATCCTTCTCCTCATCCTTTCCTCTACCACTCCTATCTGATCTCGCTCCAAATTCTATTTTTTTTTTCCTGCCTTGCTAGGGGTGAAATGCTTAATTTTTTTTTTTAAATGCCTAGATAAAAATCTAGTTGCATAATGTATAACAGTAAAAAGACTTAGCGGGTATTGAGAAAAAACTGTTTTATGAATACGACCCGGGGGGAGGGGGGAGGTGTTGAGCAAACCCAGAAACGGCTAAAGCTAAACCGAGTAAGGATTCGTGCTCAGCGCACCCAAATTACATAGTCCAATCCTAATTCAATTGACAAAAATTTGAAATTTGTTCCCCTATGTTGGAGGAATTAGAAACGTAAACATTAGTAATGAGCAGAAAGAGAAAATACCAACCAGAAGGACAGTAGATAGCGATTGACATTGCATTTAAATTTTTGCAGATTAAAGTTGGCTGGAAAGCATGAAGCCGGAAGGCTGTTCCACAAACGAGAATTGCGAGTGAAGAAATTGTTACTATAGAATTTGCGGCTACATCTAGCTAGCCCAACTGTAAATTGATGAGATTTCGCCGCCAGCCTGGTATTGTGCTTAAATTCATACAGTCTAAGTACCATAGCGAAGAGCGATATTTATTCTGTTTTCTACAGAAATGTGGCACATGGCCGAAAAGTGGATTGGGGAAAGGACGGTCTTCTTCTGTCTTAACTATAACTTAGCTAGCCGCAAACACTGACCCAGTCGTACGAACAATATTCCTTACACCAAAACACTTTCATACGTACCTTTCTTACTACAACCACCATAATACCATAGCGAAGAGCTCATCCGAACAATTAACATGAAATTATTTATAAAAATAATTTTTTAAAAAAAAGGCACAGAGATGCAACCTTCCAGCGGTGGGTAATTGAATAAAGCCAAGCTGCCAGATCAGGACCAATAATATTGCTGATTCTTCTTTGGATTTTGTCAAGAAGCTCCAGGTAAATAGCAGGGGCATCGGACCATATATGGCTTCAATATTCTAAGCTTAGGCGAATGGTAAACTTATAGATATGTAAGATATATGCCGGAGAGAAAAATTGTCTTATATAGCGAACCGATTTTCTTATCAGACGATATAGCAAGGGATTCAATATAGTCTTTCCACCTCATGTCAGCTGAGAACGTTAACCCGAGAAGGCGCATTAAGTACTGGGGGTTAGCATCAGCCATGCTGATAGTAGACAGAGAGGAGTCTTTCTGATGCTTAATGGAGAGAAGTTTAGTTTTCGATACATTAAAATGGTCAACCCATGGTTAACGACGTAAAATGGTTAACGACGTTCTTAATGTCGTTTTGTATACAAGCTGTCATTTCAACATTGTCTGCCTGATCAGCCTTACTATCGATGCAGGAGTAGAAGAAATTTTCCAAGCGTAGCTGTGGCACACGGCCGAAAGTATGGGGCACCCAGTGAGGATCGAACTCACTATTCAGTTGTAATTGGTCTAGCGAGCCAAGCTTGCTAACCATTACACCGCCTCGAGGGGCCATCTAGTGATTTTCCAAGCTTAGCTTAGATGTGGCACAAGGCCGAAAGTATGGGACACCTAGTGAGGATCGAACTCACTTTTCAGTCGTAACTGATCTAGCGAGACAAGCTTGCTAACCATTACACCACGCCAAGGTGCCTATATCGATGCAGGAGTAAATGGTAGCGTCATCAGCCTAGATGCTAAGTTGAGAGATGATGTCCTCGGGAAGGTCGTTAATGAAGATTAAAAACAGCGTAGGAACGAGGATGGAACCCTGGGGGGGGGCACCCTTGTTAGTACAAAAGGATGTAGATGAATGGCCGTTCAGGATAACATTCATTTCACGATTTGATTGGAACGACTGGATCAGCACAAAAACATGCCCGGAGATACCGTAACTTTTCAGCTCGTGGAGGAGACCTGAATGAGAGAACCTTTCATAGGCTTTGCAGATGTCCAATGCTACAGCCCAGGCTTCATCGGTTTTATCTAGAGCATAGTAGACTCTTTCCGCAATTATCGTTAGCATTTGGTCTGGAGAAACGAAAGCCATATTGCTTGTCTGAAAAAAAAGGCCCCGTGATGGGAGATGATGAACCAAATCAGAATTGATTATGGCCTCTAGAAGTTTCCCAAAAAAGAGGCTGATAGTTGTATAGGACAGACGGTTCACGAGAGTTCTTAAGGACTGATAAAACAGATGATGACTTCCAGCAAGCAGGAGGCAGCGAGGCATTTATTATATACTTTACAGAGAAAGGAGGCCAGTTATGGAGAACGCTTCTTAATGACTATTCCAGGGACGCCATCGAGTTCCCATGCTTTGTGAGAATCTAGGTTAGAGATGATAGCAGAATCTATGAAATGGTTATAACCATATCGATCAACAGAGAATAGGTTCTAAGTTGGAAGTTAGACAGGGATACTCTAAATGAGTCAAGAGTAGAGTTTGAGGAGAATTTACGGGCAAAACAGTCAGCTTTATCAGCAGAGGATGATAATACCTCAAATCAGTTGAAATGCTGGTAATAGAGACCTTGCACTTATTTAGTACCCATAGGAACGCCAGTAGTCACGAGAACCAAAGTTTCTAGAGGCTATGCGTTGCCTCATTCACTCGTCAAAAAGGGACTTAGCTTCTTCGATGACCTGCTTACATTTGTTACGAGCATTAGCAAACAGGTACTTGTTATGACGAGAGCTGTCACGCTGGTATAGCCGGAAATAGAGGTCCCTTTGTGTTATGGCGGCCGAGCATGCTGGTGTGAACCATGGAGAGGATTGCGGTTTCACTTGGTATTTCCCAGAAGGGATAAAAGCGTCAATACCGACTTTGACGCAAGAAGAAACCCCAGTGGCGTAATTTTCAGTTGAGAGGTTGAAGATGTCAGTCCAAAGGGTATCACGAAAAAAAATCCCGGATTGAGCTCTAATCAGCATGCTGGTACCAGAAAGACGTCTTATGGATAGGTGGTTTCTGTTTAATAGATGCTTGGAAAGAGATATCAATAGTTACACGGTGGTCTGAGTTACCAAGAAGGGGAGTATGGTGAAGTTCTGCAAGTGAACGGAGAGGAGGTAAATGGGATTTGGGCGCAACAATATTTGACTTACGAGCCAAGAGGGGAAATTATGATGATGACAGGGATAAAATTTTTAGATTTACAGTATCGACCGATGGAAACTGAGTAAGACAATCACCAAAAATCAAGTTACCATAAATAAAAAAAATTTAAAAAAATATGTATCGTCTGCCGAATTATTATTTAAATTATTATCAAGAAAAATGTTGGTAAGACGAAGATTTATCTGGAAATAAAGGAAGACGGGAAGACAGAAGTGTTAAGCTTCTGCCAATTCCTCATAAATAATGAACTATTCCGTTTTTGCGTAAGGAAGGAAGGCGGGGAAGGAAGGAAGGAAGGAAGGAAGGAGAGTGGAAGGAAGAAAGGAAGGAAGAAAGAAGAGAGTGGAAGGAAGGAAGAAAGAAGGGAGAGTGGAAGGAAGGGGAAGGAAGGAAGGAAGGAAGGAAGGAAGGAAGGAAGGAAGGAAGGAAGGAAGGGGGGAGAGGAAGGAAGGAAGGGGAGGAAGGAAGGAAGGAAGAGAGAGGAAGGAAGGAAGGAAGGAAGGAAGGAAGGGGGAGAGAGGAGAGAAGGAAGGAAGGAAGGAAGGAAGGGGGAGAGAGGAGAGAAGGAAAGAAGGAGAGAGGGAGAAATGGAGGAAGAAGAAGAAAGGAGATAGGAAGAAATGAAAGAAGGAAGGAAGAAAGAATGGAAGGAAGGAAGGCGGAAAGGAAAGAAGGAAGGAAGGAAAAGAGAAGAGAAGAGAAGAAAAAGAGAAGAGAGAAGAGAAGGAAAAGGAAGAAAAAGAGAATAGAAGGAGAAGAGAAGGGGATGGAGAGGAGAAGGAAACAGAAAGAGAAGAGAAGAGAAAAAATGAAAAAAGAAGCGAAGAAGGAGGGAGAAGAGACGGAAAGGAGAGAGAAGAAAAGGAAAAGCGGGAGAACAGAAGAAAAAGAAAGGAGGGAAAAGAAAAGAGAAAAAAGGAAAGGAAAGAGAATAGAAGGAAAGGAGGGAGGAGAGAAGAGAAGGAAAGAGAAGTGAAGGATATGGAAAGGAAAGGAAAGGGAGAAAGGAAGGTGTTTAAAATGGAAAAACTTGTCAATTCCAGATCTTTTCATTTGTACCCATTTCTTCATTCATCTTTATGTTTCTTATTGCAATATTTTGTAAAAATTGTTCATCTCAAATATTTTAACGATGTGAGCGGTGTATTTCTGCGGCTGTTTTATTGGAGAACTCGCCATCATTAACTGAAGAAAGAAGATTTGGTACCTTAATAAAAAAAAAACGAAACCTGAGGTCTAAAATTATTTTTTTAAATGAAAATCTTTCTTGAAGCTTCTATTTTAGTTTTAATTTCAAGTTAATAGATAAATTTTAGTATTTCCAATAAACAAAATATGTTGCTGTATTCCAAAATTCTCTAAGGAATTTTGCTTTTAACTAATATAAATAAGAAAGAGCTGAAATATTAATTTCTTAAAAATTCATAAAATTAAATCGGGGTAACAGATATAAAAATAATATTCTATAATATATATATATATAATATAATATAATTAATAATATATTACTACGTTTTTTTTTTAAATTCAAGAATAATTTCATTCATTTGTGAATAATTCCTGAATAATAAATTCATTAAAATCCGACAATTATTTGATTTTTGCAAGAATTTCCAACACAATGTGTTTTTCATGCCAAAAAAGAAGCTAAATGTCAATATAGTAATCTTTGACTCACGTGTTGACGCAAGAAAAACAAGATTTTTAACCCACAGGAAAGTTCTAGAAAGGATTAAAAATCTAATAAAATAATATCATAAACATTTAGACTTAAGTCATATACTCACCGACGTAATATGGTTTCCCTCTGTCTTTTCTACAAATATTTTCATGCCAACTGCTCTGACGAGCTTTTTTTCCCTGACTACTAGATTAACACTTAGGTCCCACCCATTTACTGTTGAACTAGTTAGATGCTACTGATACTTCTACTCCAACATTTTCTTTTCATGTACTTCCCAACTGTGTAACTCCCTTCCGCTTGTTTCCCTAATAACTACAATCTTCAAAAATTTAAATGCACCGTCAATTGCCATCTTCTATCTTATTGAATCTCGTTCAGTTTTTATCCTTTCCTCGGTCTCCTGTAACACTCTGCGTCTTAGTGGCATTTTCGCCTTGCTTGAGGTTAAATGATTAAAAAAAAAAACATTTTGACAATAAAACTTTATTTTTTATCAAGTTTGGGGTGTTTTTACATCATGGTATTCTCTTTTTTTAAGAAAATCTTTAGTAGTACCAAATAAAGATTCATCAGAAAATTCAAATCGGAAAACTGGGAAATTTTTACAGGTCTTTCCAGTTAAATGTAAATATTAGAGGGAGTATACATTCAACAATGATTTTTTGGGAGTCTGTCTATATTTCTGAGATGAGGTATTATGTACATTATTTACATTATTCGGACTATTGTCCTCATCTTTGTCGCCATATTTGTCACAACGTTTCGGCCGTTGTACGCTGCGGCCTTCTTCCGGTGGTTGGAATGTCGAACTGAACCCTTTTTTCCCTCACTGGGGTAGACTGTTCTAGTTCCACATGCCATGTTTTTTTGATGGATGTCAGTTATCAGTTATCTTCTGTTAATTTTCCCTCCGAAAGTTCTCCACTGCCTTAACCGGGTATTGAACTCTTTGGGTCCTGTCACTGGATCTAACCAACGCCTTTATCCACTGTGCCATGTGTCCTTTTTTTTTTTACTGCAAACGTGTTTTTATTTCCAGATGTCTGCAGGATATGATATGGATTTCTGCACAAGTGAGTTTCCTACGCATAAAAGATTCTTCTCGTTGCCAAACATTCACCTCTCGCTAGAAAAAATTGATCTGTATTCACCAATTCCGAACCTTCTCGAAGACAAGTCAGAGATGGCCATCTTCCGATTCGATCAGAAGGAAAAGTTTCTTCCGGACGATATCCCTTCGGAAAAAAACTCGGAAAAGGCCGAGTTCAATATGTATCGGCGTGTCCCACTGCAAAAATCTTTTTTCCCTTATCCACCTCTGACTTTGACGAAAAAGAGCTGTGCGAAGAGCCAGGGACAAATTCCTCAGACTTTGGCATCAAAGAATGTTACGAATCTTTACGTGAATCCGTCATATCCAAAGTTAAAAAGTTACCTTTCCAAAAAGCTAATTTTCCGCGATGTTGTCCCCTGCATTAACACTTGTTTTTAACCGACCCAGTGGGTTACTTTAGGTAAGTAACAATATTTTTCTCTTATATATTCGTGTAAAAAACGACAGAATCTTCTGCCTTTTTTTTTTTGTTTTACGACCTGTAAATTTTATTATTCCATTAATTGTTTGACGACATTTTCATCGCTATTAATTTTTGGCTAATATGTTCCCCAGCCTTCTTCATGTCTCTCTCTCTCCTTCTCTCTATATCTTTCTCCTTCTCTCTCTCTCTCTCTCTCTCTCTCTCTCTCTCTCTCCAGACGGTTAGTTTTCGCCGCATGCAGTTTTGTTTTTTCAGGGAATGCCGATGACTGAAAGAACTATACGCTCAAGGAAAACATTTCTTCTTTTATATGCCATAGCCCTCCACATCTTCTTGTTCTTTGTAAATCTTAATAAATTTTGTTATTTCTCCCTGTTCTATCATCCATTTTCGTTGCTCACATGTTCGGTCCATGGTATCCTCAGCATCTTTCTGTAGAACCACATTTCTGTTGCTTCAAGTTTCATCTTATCATCTTTGAGGAGATTGTCCAGTATTCCCTGTCATACAGAAGGACAGATATCACGTTCAGTTCAATACTTTTTCTTTTGTTTTTTTATAATCTGCTTAGCTTTTGGGATGCAACTTTGGCTATCAGTGCCAAAATTTCCTTCCTAGATATATTTTTTTTTATTTTTACTTGTTTGATTTTAGCATCCCCGATTTGTAATTTGCATTTTGGACTCACCCCTTTTGCTGATAAACAAACAAGGAAAGCTAGGGAAGCCGAAAACGTAAAATTTCTAGTGAATTTCTTTTCTTTCTTCCTTTAATTATTGCACGTTTTCTCTTATTTCCAGCTATGGAAAAAGTTCGAGTCTTCCAGAATGTGAGAAATATTGAACGTGTTGAGAAAAAATGTCAAGTACTGTTATAATTTAATTCCAAATTATGTTTTCTTTTCCGGAGTAAAAAAAAAAATAGCAAAAACAAACTATTTTTTTTAAAACTCTTTTATAAAAAATAAAAATAAAAATTTATTTTTTATTTCAGGAGTTTTTTTTTCTGTTTTCTTTTTGAATTTGTAGGTCTGATGATTTGGATCGTATTTACGATTCCAATGGAATAGATTATGACCATGGAATATTAGTGTTTAAACCTTTTTTTTTATTATATATATATATATATATATATATATATATATATATATATATCCTAATTCCCAAAATTATTTTGTCTCTCCCGTAACTCTAACCAGTGAGTTTTATCGGCAGAATACAGCAACCGCTCTCACGTTTCTGGGATGCGCAGGTCACACTAAAAAAAAATTTCCATTTTTTGTTTGACATAGGCCGAAACGTTGCGATAAATATGGCGACAAAGATGAGGACAATAGTCTGAATAACGTAAATCCCTCTTTTTTGTGTTTTTCATTCAGAATTATATTATTTTCATTTCATTTCTACCCGAGTCAACGCTCTTCTATTAACCTGTACGTGATTCTTAAGATCAAATTCACTTTTGCAACTTCTCTTACACACGTGGCAAACATAAAGCTTGTCTAAGTTACCGATGTTGAAACCTTGCCCACCCCTGTGTACAACCATGTGGCGTTTGAGTCCTTCAACAGACTTACAAACCTTGTCAAAAAATTTGCACAAGTAGACTGGAGGTCTTTCTGATAGGGTTACTTTCACAGGGGTTTACACCTGACCTCTCTGATGTGATCTCACGTGATTGGCTAGACCTGCCGCCAATACGGTGCCTTTTTTCACGAATAATGCAAGTGTGTTGGCGCCCTAAAAGCTCTGGGAGGGATTCTATGTATTTCTTCGTGAGGGCGCGCTTTTTGTTGGAAAGCTCAATTTACGTCTGCTCAAAGTTCCCAAATCAACCTTCTCAAGCCAGATCTATCCCCAGCCAGATCTATCCCCAGCCAGATCTATCCCCAGCAACAGTTTCCCTGACCTCAAGATTAACGCCAAGGTTATATTTAACTACATCTTTGAAACGTTTTTTGGCCTCATGGGCGTGTCGATAATCGTGTACCAGTCCACCATAAAAAAAATCTTTCGTGTAATCTCCATACGTGCCAGGGAACCTGTCCAGCGCATTTCTTTACAGAGGTGTAGTATCTGTGCTGCCTATGTTTGTGCGCTGAAGGACTTTTGTGTCTGCTATACATACATACATACATACATACATACATACATACATACATGTTGGAAAATCCTATTTTGCCGATTCCGGTAAAAATAAACCCCAGGCCATTTTTCCGGTGAATATTTTTGTTATTATGAAGGCCGGAGATGTTGAAAATAACAATACACAGATTTAACGAGGAAGTTTTATTTATTTTCACCATCAATTGTTAAGAAAATTTAAAATCTTATCCATCATCAGTTGTTAAAACACAAGTTAAAATAATTTTTACATCATCAATTATTAAAAGAAATAGAGAATTCTCTTAATATTTTAAGGACTTCAGACAAAAGAGTCTCTGCAAATTCCAAACTTGCCCTTAGGCATTGTTCTTTTGCCAATACACTTCAGGTGCGTCCACTGAAGACAACAAATACAGACCACAGAATCCATGTTGTTCAAGTCCTACCTACATAGACATCTCAAATGTAATATATTCTTAGTTCTAAAACACTATTTATACATATTTACCGGTAAAATAGCATTGATATTTATTTTACGAGACCAGGAAAATAGCCTTGGTGTCTTTTTACCGATACCGGCAAAATAGCCTTGGTTTCTGTTTTAGTGGGACCGGTAAAATAGCCTTGGTCTTTTTACCTGGGACCGGTAAAATAGCTTGGTTTCTGTTTTTGGTTTCTGTTTTAGTGGGACCGGTAAAATAGCCTTGGTTTCTGTTTTACTGGGAC